TATGTACACATTCCCATCGCCAGATAGCCACCCCCACACCCATCTTCACCTCCAGGATCGCACACACATGCACGTTCCCATGGTTTCCCACCTTCCCAAGCTCATATGAGATGTCCATACGCACGAGTGTTAGTTTCCTAGGACTGCCATAGCAAAGTACTGCACACCCCGTGGCTGCAAACAGCACAGCTTTCATTGTCTCACACTTTTGGAGAAGTGCAACACCCAGGTGCCTTCTGAGACGTGTAGGAAAGGACCCTTCCTTGCCTCTTGCTATTATAGCTTCTTGCAAGCTCCTGATAGCCCTAGGTGTTCCTTGGCTGGTAGATGCATTACTCCAGTCTCTGCTTCTATCTTCACAAGGACCTGTGTCTGTGTCTTCACACGAATATCTTTTTATTAGAACATTAGTCATATTGCATAGGGCACCCTATTTCAGTATGACCTCAACTTAACTGATTGTATCTGTTGTGGCCCTATTTTCAAATAAGATCACATTCCGAGCTGCTGGGGGTTAGGACTTAGCATATCTTTTTTGGTGGACACAATTCAACCCATAACAACACCTTATGGCCATAAAACCTCACATGTCCTTAGCACTCTCCCACAGTCACGCACAGCTGTATACACTAACAGAGTTGTACAGACATGTACACTCACACATTCACGCATTCTCATAGTCACACATACCTATATATACCACTAGGATCACATGTACACATACACACATGCCCACACGCACACACACATACCCATCCATACATAGCCACATATGCTATGCCATCACATACACGCACTCCCCCTCAGGCTCCCCATCTTACGTACAGTCCCCCACACTCCGTACAGTCACCCTCCTACACGTGCCCTCCTGCTCCCGTTCCATTGCCACACATCCCCTTGGCCACACTCAGAGGCCACCCCTTGGGGTCATGCTCCGAGACCTGGCACATTCTCAGCCTCACACTTGGCTCATACCTCTCACATCCTCTCCCACCCACACAGTCTCTCCCCTTCTGACTCCTTCTCCATCCAGCGATCTCCCACTAACCAACCAACGCTCTAGGCAGGGAGTTGCAGCCAGGCCCTTGGGCCCCACCCCAGCCAGGGCACCAGGTAGGTAGCCTCTTGCTGTCTGGAATCAGATGCCCCCACAGCGTTCTCCAGCTCAGACTCCCACTCTTCCCTCTCAGGAGCAGACAGACAGACAGACAGACAGACAGACACATGCACACACACACACTCACCCTCACACCGCCCCTCCGGCAGCCCCACGGCAGCAGTCTGTTCCTCATTATGGGCCAATGTGCCTGTTTACTCACCCAGCTGGAGATGGTTAGAGAGTGATAAATAATGAAAGAGAAAACAGGCTTTTCCCCTCTGCGGCTTCTATTTATGTAACATGTGTCACAGCTCACTCACAGACTTTGTTTCGGAGCTGGTTGCAGGAAATAGTTTATTTTTTCCGGACGGTGGCTTGGGGGGCAGGGTGGGGGGCCTGGGGTTCGGGTTTCTGGTCTCACGCCCAAGGGAGTTTCGGGATCCGGCACCCAGAGACCTCCTCCTGGTCCTTCCCCTCCCCACCTTCCCTGACACCCTGGGCAGACATCAGGGCCCAAGGCTGCCTTAGAATGGGGTTCTCTGACTCCACTGATATGGAAGGAGTTGGGGTGGTTGGGGTCCTCTCCCAGCTGCCTCTGAACCTCCCACACACACACACACACACACAAAAACAAACAGATGGGCTGGGCTCGTTTTAAGAGCCAAACAGCTTGAGGCTAGGACTCCCTGAAAGGTGTCAGTGGGACAAGAGACTTCCTAGGTAGCCTGCACCTGTTAGCGGGGAGGGCACAAAAGGATGCATTCTATAAACGACGAATGGAAAAATCCAGGCCTCGTATCCACTTAGCATTTTAATGTCCAAGGTCTCTCTGAAGCCTCACAATTTTCAACTGCTGCTTTCCAGGTGAGGTCATTGAGGGGCAGGCACGGGGATGGACTTGCCATGGTCTGCTCAACTAGTTGTTAAGAGCCAAGACTTCAAACTCACACATCCCCTGACCCTTCTCGAAGGAGCACCTCCCTTGGTAGAATTCTGGTCAACTTAGCTTAGGCTCAGGCAGGTGGGAGTAGTTACAAGGGCGTGGGGGCTGGAATGTGGGGGGAATGTGAGTTGTTAGAGATCTGAGATGTGCCCCCCTCCCAATCTTTCCCCAAACATGAAGGCAGCCATCTTTGGGGGGATGCTTCAGGGAGGGAAGAAGCAGCAGAAAGCTGCCCTGCTCCCCAAATCCCAGTGCCAGGAGGTTCTTGGGAAGTTTGAAGGCAACCTGCTCCCCACCTGAGCCTGTCTCTGAAGGCCAGGGCAAGGAGCCCACGCCTTGCCTGACATGGAGCCCAACTAGTGTCTCAGGCCGCCTACTGGGGAAACCCAGGGCACCTACCCCAGGAATGCAGAGTCCACTGTGGAAGATGGACCGGGAGGCGCCTAACTCCTGCAGTCGGGAGGAGCGGTGTGTGGACAGGCATCATGGGGCCAGTCCTGTCAGGGGGCCTCAGGGGTTCTCCCAGGACTGTTGCACAGGGATCTCCTGGATGGTGGGAGAAGCAGCCACTTTCCCAAAACAAGGATTTTAAAGCCGAGGCCCTGGGGTCTTTGATACTACCTTCTTATGTAGTCCTGGGAGCCCTTGAGGCTCTGAGGGGGCCCAGGAGAGACAGGCCATGAGAGGGGCCTCCAGGAGAACCCCTTTCTGGGTTTCCAGGAGCCTCCTGCCTCCCTGGCCTCTTGGCAGGGTGGGAGTGTAAGGAAGGGAGGCCTGGCCAGAGCCCACTACCCGTATGCTTGTTCAGGCTGCGATATGGAGATTTCACAGCAGTTTCATAGGAGCCCTGCCCAGGACAACCCCGCTCCCCAACAGACACTCACCTGCACACACACATGCTCTTAGGTGACGCCCCTGCATGCAGCCCCTTTCAGGAAGACCCAAAGCTCTGGACTCTAATGTTCCCTGTGGGTGGTGCCATGACTAGTAAAATTCATCCTAAACCCCAGGGGCTCTGCACACCTTGTCTCTAAACTTCACATTGATCCTGCAAGGAAACTTTTATTAAACCTACCCACCCCCAGCCTATAGGTGAGAAAACGGGGGCTCAGAAAAAGCTGAGTGATTGGCCCGAGGCCACGCAGCTACTCCGTGGCAGAGCTGGGGTGGGATCCAGGCCCATCGCACGCCAAGCTCACACTTCATCCCTTTCCTGTTTCTCTCCCAACACCCAGCATCCGTCGATGTTCAGGAAGTCGACCGGTTAATGTGTACATATGGGTTTGCTTTCATATACACTCGGTGCAGGCCCCAGCTGCCCTTCTCCAAACCCACCCTGAGCTGTGATCTCCAGGCAGACTCAGAAAATCACAGACCCCTCTGCTTTCTCCACAGTCAGAGCCAGCGGCAACCTGAATTTCCTGGGCTCCAGCCTCAGTTTCCCCTCTGTCTCTCAGGCCCAAATACCTGAGTAAGGCTCCCCCTGCTTTGAGGAGGACAGTGGCACTGGCTGGGCTCCTGTTGTAGGTCTGACCCTCACCCTGTAAAACCTCTGGGGTCCAGCCACCTCCATCTTCCACTCTTGCTCTAAAATGTCAGGCCTGGCACTGCCCCCCTGTAGCCCCCTCTCCCGGTGGCCCCCTGAGAGCCCAGGCTTTGCTTGAGGGCAGTGAGTGAAGCCGGCTGTAACAGAGAAACCTCGGGCTCCTCTTTAGAAGTCCCCGGAGAAGGCAGATCTGAGGAAAGGCTGCCGAGAAGGCGCCTGCAGCAATGTCAGCTTGAGAACAACCCAGCTGACAGGATGCTGAGCGGGGATTAAGGTCGGGATCAGGGAGGCTGGGGAAATGAAGGCAAGTTCCCTGCTCCCCTCGCTGCTGCCGCTGCTGCTGCTGCTGCTGAGTTCGTCTTCATGTTTGTTCTAGCTCTGGGAAACTAGACCTGGAGGGAAGTGGGCAGGGATGAGGCAGAGAGGTGGGGAGAAGGCCAGGGGAGAGGTAGAGAAAGGCAGGCAGCAGGGTGGAGGGTGGTGGAGAGGAGAGGATGCCAGGCCTCTGGTTCTCAGGGCTCATTCAGGGCGGGCAGCCACATGGGGGGACCCTTCCCCAGTGACTGTCCCCAGTCACTCATGGGGCAGCCAGCAGGCCCCCATTAGCTCTCCCCTATATGCAGAGCCTATCCTGAGCATTGGTGGCAGGACCAGCGAGGACAGAATTGACTAGGCCAATGTAGCAGATGTGATGTACCTTCCAGAAAGAGGACAAGCCGGTTTCCACCTGCCTTCAAAGGCAAGACCCCCATTCTGGGAACTGCCACCACTGAAACCTGCCTCATCATTGACATGTCACCAGAGCCCAGCCAAATGGGCTAAAGAAATTTTAGTGACACCTCAGTGCCTTGCATTGTCACTGGTGTGGTGGCTGAGAGGGTGACCTCTTGTCTCAGACTGCCTGGGTGCAAATTCTAACTCTGCCACTGATTTCTGCATGACCTAGAGCAAGTAAGCAAACCTCTCTATGCCTCAGTGGGAGAAAATAGTGGCACCCCCTCATCAGGCTGCTGAGAAGATGAAAGGAGTGAACACGTGAGAAGTACTTGGAGTCGGGCCTGCCACAGAGGATGTGTGCATTGAGAGTGGTTTTATTTATTATCAAGGGCAGAGTGAAGGAATAATAGTGGCAGCTAGTGGCAACATAAGCTTAATCATCAGAAAGCTTCCTGGAGGACGGGAGTGTGGCATCTGATTTCGGAGGCTGAGGCTTGGCTGAGGTACAGGAGTGAATTGTAGGTTTGAGGCAAGCTCCCATGGGACAGGTGAGCATGGGGCCTGACAGGGGCAGGGGGTTTAAAGAGGCATCTGGTGCGAGATGGAAGGGATGCTTTCCTGGGAGCCCTACTCCCAGCTGTTCTTTCTCCAAAGTTCCTGCTCTAACTAAGGGTAACATGACTTCTCTCTCCCAGTCCTGCCAAAGACAAGCCAAGGGTGCAAAGACCATGACAAGAGACTGTTTATCATGGCGACCTTCCCAGAATGGGACTTATTCCAGACATCCAAGCGATTCATAGAGGCTTCTAGAACCCCTGGGTTCTCTGGACCTGGTGAGGGACAAGGCAGCAGAGAAAGGTACAGAGGCTACAAACCTGGCAGCAGAGGGTCCCTGGGGGCTGGGCTCCAGCTCTGCCACTGACCAGCTGTGTGACTTGGAGCAAATCAATTAGCATCGCTAGGCCTCAGTTGCCTGGCCTGTGAAAGGGGATCAAGATTGATGCAGGAACCAAGGAGGGTGGTTCCTGGTCTCCAGGGCTGCCTGCTGCAGGGCCTGCTACCCTGGCCTACCCCACAGCCCCTCCTGGGGGGTCCTCAGCCCTTCCTCCTATCTCTGGACACCCTGACCACAGGCTGGAGGTGGGGAGAGGGTCTGGGTGGGAGCGAGAGCCTTGGATGGGGTACTGGTAATTGAGGAAAGGGTCTGCTGAGTGATCTCTAGGGGAAAGCACCTGGGCCTGGGAGGGGAGGGGGGAGGGGCGGAGGAAGGGGGCGGCTCATCTCCACAGATGTGTGTGGGGAGCTCCTAGCTGGGGATTTTACCTCTAGGAGACTGGTTTCTGGAGAAGCTAGTCTCAAAAACACCTTTGCTTTCCCCTGTCAATAACAATTATGTATATTTATTATAGAGAATACAGAAAAGCATCAAACAAGGAGATAAAGTTCAGCCACAATGCTACCACTCAGAGATAACTAAGGTAAGATTTTACTGTATCACACACACTCAGGAGCACTCCCACACCGATTTCACAGTACTCACACACATATTCACACACACGTTTATACAAACATCTAGGTAACTTTTGATTACAGCATAATAACTTAATGGACATGTATCTCAAAAAACTTAGTAACAGGATCATGGAATTATAAATACATTACCATTTCATAAACGTTTTTTCTTTTTCTTTTTTCATTAAACTACATAGCGAGAACCTTTTCCCCAGGTCATCAAATATTCTTCTCCGACATAATTTGAAGTGACTGTAGAGTGCTCCGTCTGTTGGGTGTGTTGTAAAGCATATAATGTTATCCGTCCTCAATTGTTGGTCATCCTGATTGTTTCTAGATGTTTGCTATTATAAACAACACTGCCAGGAACATCCTTGTGGAGAAATCTTTGAGGGGGCTGCTAACTTCGCAACCGTTTGTTTATATGTCTATCTACTCCCAGGCCCGAGTATGAGGCTGTCTAGGGCAGGCTGTTTGTCTGATTCACTAACTTGGCTCCTGGTTCACTGTAGACATGCAGTCATTTTTGAATTGCATTGTATTTCTAGAGGGTGTGCTCTGGGCTGAGGAAATGGAAATGATGGGCTGATCAGGAAGGAGTCCACCTTCCCTGCTAAAACACTCAGGGGTCCCACTGCCCCTCGGTTGGGCCTGCCAACTTCTCCTAGGAACAAAACATTCCCAGGCCCAAAGCCACTGGCCATCCTGGAGTCACATGGAACAGCCTCCCTTTATCTCTCACCTTCCCCCTGCCAGGACCATCCCCCTTCATAACCCCCATTCTGACTAATTTAAGTTCTTTTGTTGTGTCTTCAAGCTGAAGGCCCAGCCAACAGAGCCCTTTTAGCGGCTCATTATTGCTAGGGCCATGGTGTGGCAGCCCCCTCTCTGGCCCCTGTTTCTGACAGCACAGCCCACCAGACCCTGAGACATGCCCACATAGCACACATCAGCCTGCCCCCTGCTCTGCTCGCCACCTCCTATGACACCAAGGAGCCTTTGTCTCTTTCTCCCAGGGGCTCTAGTTAGATGCTGTCATTCTTCTTAGGACAGATTTGTAGAATTTGGATTTCAGAGCTGAGACCCAGTTCCCAGTCCAGTGTTTCTACGGGAGAGAGAGAAAGAGAAAGAGAGAGAGAGAGAGAGAGAGAGAGAGAGAGAGAGAGAGAGAGATAAGAGACAAAAATTGAGAGGTAAAACTTACTAATTTAATTTTTCCCCTCAATCATCCGTGTTCCTAACCTCCTGCAAATTGTTCTTTTTTGTTTTATCTTTTCCCCCTTCTTCTTTCTCTCCTTTCCTTCTCTCTCTCTCTCTTTCTCTCTGTTCCTTCTCTCTTCTCTCTTTCAGCTCTGACACACTCTCCCACCCTTCTGTCCTCATTTTCCCTCCTCTCCCCTTCTTTTTTAAGTTTTTTTTTTCTTTTAACTTTCAAGGTCATTTCGGACTCCTGAAGCCTCCAGTCCCTCAGTGAGATGCGAGCACCACTGGCGTCCGTGGCCTCTGTTTCCGTGGCAACCCAGTAACCATTAATTTTCAATTAAAGGAGACAAAAAGCTCGATGACAGCTCCAGGTCTGCTGAAGATGTCAAGAATCTGTATTAATATACAGCAAGAGAGCATAATTGTGTGTCCATCTTCCAGAGCAGCGAAAAATGGAGGGATAATTACCAGCTCGAAAGCCACTCTGTAATTTAGTTCTTACTGTCACCACAGCCCTACACATTAGCATAAATTAAAAGCAGAGTTTATTGTTATCAAAGTGCATTGATATCGCCAGACCCGCTTTCTTCCTTTTAACTGTTTGTCGTGGGTGAGTGACTCCCCAACTCTCGCCAGGGTCTCCCTGGGGTGGGGAGAAGGGCAAGTGCAGAGGCTACTAGGGTGCGGATGCCAGATCCGGAAGGTCTTGGCCATTTCTGCCATCTTCCCTTGGGGTGGATGGGGGACAAGGGTCAGGGCACTGTGGGGGGGGGGGCGAGGGGGCTTGGAAACTAATTCACCTCTCCCATGTGAGTGCTTTGTTTTGCCCAAGAGCCCTCCAGTTCTTTCACAGGGGCCCGCTGCCCATCTTCAGGGCCTAGTACAGTACAGGGCAGGCGACGGGCGTTCAATGCCAACCTGTTAAACAAAGGAATGAGGGAAGGTCCAGGGGTCTCCTCCCATGGGGTGGGTTTCAGCAGGGGGCCTTCTTGACTCCCCAAGTTCTGAGCATGATCAGCTCAGAATGGAGAGCTCCTGGCCCTGACCCAGTTCCTGCCTGGCCAGCCAGGCCCCCAGCTCCCAGTGTAGCCTCTCTGGACCGCCCCCCCACTCCCCTGCTGCTGGCCTATCCATCACCGCCACCTCCCCCACTGCCTGGGTCCTGCCACCCCAAAGACACATAGTTGCAGCTCCTCGAAGTGTCTCACTGCCAGGGTGCCAGTGACAACAACAGAAATCATGAATTTCCGTGAATGGGGGATGCGGGGGGTTTTCTTGCACGCTATCCAGAGAGAGCTGTCCTTCAGAGGGGAATTTAGTGTAATTACTCTTAAGGGAGCGATCCTTACACAGTCAGTCACAACACTGACCTCCTGGCTGAGATCTGACAGCAAAATTACAGGCTGTGTACTCAACAGAAGGGGCATCCTCCTTTTGGGGGGCGGAGGGAGGCGGGAAGGAAGGAGGAGGAGGGGAAGGAGATGCAGAGGCTTTGAAAAGAAAAGTGCGGGCTTCCAGCTGCCAGGCGAACGGGTTCTCCTTGGCAAGGCATCCGTCTGTGGGGCAGGAAGAAGATGCTCACAGATGCCTTGGCTTTCAGCTGGCTCACGAGGAGGGGTTGAGGCAGGCAGTTGGGCCCTTTAAATCTTTGAGCCATGGTCTGGGATTTTAGCTAAAGTTAATCTTCCTGTAGGTAGGGTTTGGAAGGCACTCGGAACTGTTTGATAAACTACTCAGGCATGTTTTCCCAAACAGATCTGTCCCCAGGTCTCTCTCCCAAGTGCCTGGAATTTCACCATTCCTTACAACTTTGAGTTAACATCCTAGACCCTATTAAACTACCCCTGGGTTACCTGGCAGGACTAACATGCTAATCTGTGACCGGTCCAAATTTAGCATGGACTTATCTATCAGATGCACTGGCCTGTCACATGGCAGAGCCCTAAGGACACAGGTCAGGCAAGTTTCGACAAGGTAATGGAGAAATTCTGGAGTGTGGGTAGATCTCCAGGGGCTGTGGAGCCTGGGAAAGACCATATGGAAGCAGGTCTCCAAATCTCACAGCTGGGAGGGACCCCAAAAACAGTTGGCCAAACTCCTCCCAGAGCAGGGGTCCCCTCTGCTCAACCTCTATCCAAAACCCAGACACCTCTGCTCATTTGGCTTCTATCAGCAGCTCACTAGCTCTAAGGTCTGAGGTCTGTTTTGCTGCTAAACACCACTGATTATTGGAGTGAATTATTATTCACTCCTCCTGAGTGGAGTGAAAAACTGTTACCCTGACATTCCTACCTTCCCTTTGGAGCCCAGGAAGAAATCTAAACTTTTTCTAGTGAGTTCGCCTTTTAGCTACTTGAGAACAATGCTCCGCTGCCCAACGTCTTCTCCTTCAGTTCTCGGACCTGGTGGGCCTATCACATTCCACTCACCCTTCCATGGAAGAGCCGAAAAGGAGACTGAAAGGAGAAGGGAGGGCCCGAAACACAAACCCAACATTTACTGGGCATCTACTATGTGCCAGGCACCAACACCCCCCCATGCTACTTTTATCCCCCAACCATCCGGTAAGGGGAGGAAATATTATTCCCATTTTAGGGTAGAGGAAAGAAAGACTCAGGAAGCTGCAAGTCACTTGCCCCGATGGCCTGGCAGACCCGTGATCCCTGCTGAGGGCTTTGTCCCCAGATCCTTCAGGCACCATGAGCTTTGTCATTGTTCTCCTTGTCCCCTCACCTTCAAAGTGCTTTGCTCCAGAGATGCCATCTCTCCTCTCTACTGGGCAGGAGGAAGGAATTCCAGGGGGAAACCCAGCTCAAGTCCTGCTTCCTCCTTGAAAGCTCCCCTGCCCTCAACAATTGCTTCAATAACAACAACATCAGCTATTGCTTCTTACCACAGGACCATGCTCCAGGGCTCACACTATGTGCTTAACATAGGGCATTTCACTCAGTTCTCTCTGCCTGGACCCCTCAGAGATCCGTCGCTCCTTCAGAGACCACCTTCTCAGTGGGGCCAAACCTCACCATCATTTCCCGGTTCCTTGTACCCTGTTCTATTTCTTCCCATAGCGCCTTATCACCTTCTAATGTAGTATATAATTTACTCATTATCATGCTCATTGTCTATTTCTCTCCACTTTAGGCTCCAAAACGGCAAAGTTTGTTTATTTTGTTTTCTGTTATATCCCAAAGCACTTAGAACAATGTCTGGTCTACAGCAGGTGCTCAATGCGTATTTGTCAAATGGAAGAAAAAGCACTTAAAACCCTTTGAAGCAGGCGTGATATATTCACAGCAGAGAGGGCCTAGGGTTCTAGGTATGGGTTAGGTGGCTTGTCCCAGGTCACAAAGCTGGCAACACCCAGGTTCAAGCCCTTGTTCATTTTGGGCTGCTGAGTATGGAGCCATTTTGGGGAGTGGTGGGGGAGTGAGGGGCCCTTGTTCTGAATTTTGAGTTGGGGGCTGAGGCAGCCTGCTTCCTGGGGGAGTTCTGCCTGCACACCAACTAGCAGGTCCTTCTGAGCACTCACCCCCTCCTAACAGGGTGAGAAAGTCTCCTGCTTCCTGCAGCCACTTTCAGGCCCCTACCTTTCCCACCCCCAGCCTGGGAGAGGCCTGCAGGTGCAGTCCAGTTCATTTCCCTCCCCTTGAGGGCCCGGTCCCTGCCTGGGCTGGAGTCCACACCCAGGGCCTCAGGCGCCCCTGGGAGGCCCGCACCCTGGACTCTGAGAGGCTCCTTTCCCTTAGATGTGAATTGGGGCCCCAGAGTGCCCACACAGAACATACATCTTAAACAAACACTTCTCCTTGCTGTTTATCTCCCTGGCCTTTAAACAAACTCTTTCAAAGGTTTCTGCTGATAGGAGAGATTTACTGAAAACCATTCCTTGCTTAAAAGCCCAGGGTTTAGGCTGCTGGGGTGGGGGCAGTGGGGGGCCTTCAAGCCTGGGGTTTCTCTGCCTCGGGACCAAATGTTTATCCTCCAGGCCTTGATAGAGGAGCAACACAGACTAATCTTTATGGAAAAGAAAATAAGAAAAGCAGGAAAGGGGCGGGGGAGGGGGGGTTGGGGGAGAAGTTTGTTTCTTGTCATTGACTCCATGAGGTCTTGGCAGGGCCCATGTGGTAGCACCCACCACACAGCAGCCGGAGGGGGCAGGGTGCAGCGCTGGAGGAGGGTGTGGCTCCCTTGAACTTTGGACAGAAGGCCCCTGGGCAGGTGAGCATCTTCTTGGGCCCCCACACCCTGGACAGAGGCCAGAGTGGGCCTCTCCCAGCTGGCGTGAGGGAGGGCAGGGCAGCAGTCATGTGACAGTGTACAATATTTACTCCTGCTTTTGACCAACGTTTAGGAAGTAACTTGTGTATGCCAGGACCTGGGGTACAGAGTTGAGTAATCGTTAACATTTCTTTCAGCATTTCTGTGGGTCTGGCACTGTTCTAAATCACTTCCATGAATCAGCTCATTTAATACAACAGCCGCAGCAGCAGATTCTAGAATTAGCCCAGTTTTGCAGTTGGGGGAAATCAAGGCACAGGTTGATTACTGGGCCACACCCCCGAGGTTTTGGTTGAATTGAGATGCAGTCTGGGCATCACATTAAAAAATGCAGCCTAAGTGGAGGGCTACTGCTCTACAGAGACCCTTGTTGCCTCTTCCTCACCCTCCCGATAACAGAGTCTGTCTTCAATACTAAGGTGCACACATCTCCGAAATCTGAGCTGTGTCTCACAATCCATTCTTAGGGGGACATGAAATAATGGTGCTTCTTATAATCTTAAGTTATATGGGCATATGTTCCAAGACCCCCGAGTGGATGCTTGAAACTACAGATAGTACCGAATTCTATATATGCTATGGTTTTTCCGAATACATACATGCCTATGATAAAGTTTCATTTATAAATTAGGCACCGTACGAGATTAAAAACAGTCACTAATAATAAAATAGAACAATTATAGCAATAGCCTACAATAAAAGTTATGTAAATGTGGTCTCCCTGATAACTGAAACGGCTACTAAGGGACTAAGAGGCAGGTAAAGTATACAGCGTTGGAGACACTGGACAAAGGGATACTTCATGTCGTGGGCGAGACAGAGCGGGGCATCTCAAGATTTCATCACTCTACTCAGAATGGCACGTACTTTAAAACCTATGAATCGTTTCTTTCTGGAAAATTCCATTTTAATTTTTGGACCTTGGTTGACCACGGGCCACTGAACCCGTGGAAAGCTAAACCACGGATAAGGGGAGGACTACTTCTGCCACCTGTGGGGCCTGGGCTGGGTGGTTTGCATACATTATCTCATTTAATCCGCCTCCCAAAGCTTTGCGATAGGTCAAATGAGCACCTCTGATGAAAACACTGAGGCACTGAGAACTTAGTAACTTGCCCAAGACCACCCAACTCGTGGGGTGGAGGCAGGATTTGAACCCACAGTTAAATGGCCAAATATTCATTCCTGACCCTTGAAGGGTGCTTTATACTTTCCAAGCTGCCTTCATTCTTATTTTGTCCATTGAGGAAGACACCGAAATCCAGAAAGCTTAAGTGATCTGTTCT